TTTTTTTTTTTTTTTAAAGATTTTTATTTATTTGTTCATACAGAACTGGGGTACAGGCCAGAGGCTCAGGGGTAGTGAGAGGCTTCCCCAGATACAGAGTGGGGAACAGAACAGGCAGATCGACGAAGTACACTGCTGAGGGGAGCAGCGGGCCGGTCAGGTCTGTGCCATGTGGTCCCCTCCTGGGGATCGAACTCATGCGGAAATGGCTTTAGCTTCTCAGTGCTGTGCTTTAACCCGCTGCGCCACCAGGGAGGGCCAGATCTTTCCCTTTTTTAATAAGACAAACTGGGGCTCCCTAGCGGCTCAAGGTTACATGTCTTGGCACTATGAAGCTCTCGCCAGCCCCTGCAGCCTGAGTTTGGTCCCTGGAAGGAGGGCGCAGCAGACCTCTCCTGTCTTGCCTTCTGCTCCCCTCAGCAGAGGTCTGAGTGGCTCCACCTGTCCTGCTCCCCACTCTGTCTCTGGTGGATCCTCTTACCACCACCCCACCCTACACCCTAGTTCTTGTATGCATAAATAAATAAGATACAGATCTTTAAAAGAAAAAGGAAACTGCTCTAGAGGTCTTTATAAACCACAAAGCCTGTGTAATTTCTGAGTACAGTTGCATGAAAAACGTTTAAAACACAAGCATTTGTTCACTACATATAAGGTAAATGTGTCTGAATTTTTGTTTCACAACAGAAGAGAAGATTCACAAGAAGCTCGAAGGCTCGTCCTCCCCAGAGGCAGAGTTATCCCCTCCGGCGAAGGATCAAGTGGAGATGTATGTAAGACGCAGTGGGCGCTCTGGCCACGCTGGCTGCTGCGGGGCTTGCTGGTTCTGCGCACCTTCTCTTTAGTTTCACGTTTTATGACACAGGAGACACTGGCTGCATGCTCGCCATCACCCCGAATTCAGGGCTGGGTACGGTGCAGGTTGAACAGCTGCTGTGAATCAGTGAGTGGAACCGCAGCTCGGGCTGCGTTCGCTTCACACACTGGAGCGCACTCTGGGCCTCGGGACAGCTGTCAGGGGTCGTGCCTGGCCTGTCCCCTGCCAGTGACAGAGGGGACAGGGCAGGTCAGTGACCGCGGGCTCCGTCTCCGGATGCTGCCAGCGTGCTCCCTGGGGTCAGCGTCAAGGCCGGCCGCCGCGGAAGCGGGCTTCCTGGTGCCTGTTTCGCTGCAGCCCTGGGGCTGGGAGCGTCTGGGTGGCCTGTGTGGCTGCCCTGTCTGGACAGCTGGCCGGAGCCCTGCGGCCTGCGGGCGCGCAAGCTGTGTGGGGCGAGTTTTGCTAGAGCAGAGAGCGCGGTGTGAGGCATCGCCTGAGCGCCCTTTGGTGTTAACTTCACGTGGAAATGCCGAAATCATAGGTGCGCTTGGTTCGCAAGGTAACTGAAATTCATGTAAATTTCTCTTACACTTTTTTAAATCTTTTAAATTTTTTTTTTTTTTTTTAATAATAGCTGTATCTTACATTTTTGATGTGATCCCTAGAGCTTGAAAAAGCACACATGAGGCTCACAGGTTTCTGTTCAGCAGTTTGGGGAGAGACTGAAACTGGAGAGTCAAGTGTAGGATTAGGCCTCATGAAACCCTCTACGACTTCACAAGTGACCTTGACAGTTGCCTGCAGGACGCGGTCCCCGGTGGCCAGCCCGAGGCCGGACGCCTCCTTTGGCCTCTGTCCCACCCCGCCGTTAGCTGCGGCTGCCCGTCCCTCGCGGAGACAGCTCGCCGGGCCTTGGCTCCATGCTCCCGGGAGCCGGCCAGCCTCCTGGCTTGCCCAGTTGTGGCTGGTCAGGCTCCATGCTGTGAGCACAGTGAGGAGGCCATGCCCTCAAGCAGGCCCCCACACCTCAGCCCTGGAGTGGGCCAACGCTGCCTTTCTAGAACTTTTGCTTGCTTTCTCTGCGTGCTCTCGCCTCGCCAGCCTCCTCCTCTGCACTCGCGTGCGGTGATCCCTGCCGTTTCTCCGGCTCTCGGGACATAGTGACAGTGAAGACAGCGCCCCCTCAGCAAGGCCTCTGACTCGTGTCATGCGCTGCTGCCCTGACTCCCCAGAGCACCCCACAGGGTCCGTCAGCCCCTGGCACGCCCAGGGCCCCAGGGCCAGGCAGCGTGGGGCCTGGGGACTGTGGCATCCAGTGCGCGTCCTGGACCGCCTTGCTGTCCACCTTTGCAACTGCGTCTGTCCCCAAGGCGCTCAAGGGCCTGGTGAGGTCATTCGTGATCGCCTTGTTAGAGTTGAGGAAACGGCCCCGGGCCTGGCTAGTTAGCTTAACACCACAAGCATGCTAAGTAGTTGAGGTTCAAACTCAGTCTCAGTGAAGTTACATTTCTCATGCAATGTTTGTCATTTTTGACTTCTTAAATTAAAATTCAGACTTTGAAGATAAAAGCTGTCATCTTACACAGCTTCGTAGGGCCTCTCGGCGCTGGTCAGAGGGAGAGGTGGGGCAGGCACGCGTTGCTGTGCTCAGAGCCCGTGGAAGCCAGCCGCGAGTGGGGGGGGTCGGCGTCGGGGGCCCCAGCGAGCTGGCCACGCGCCACCGGGGCACTGGGCTGCCTCGGGCTCGTGCTCACGGTTTGAACTCGGTTCTGTCTTTCCAGGTACTACGAAGCATTCCCGCCTCTTTCGGAGAAGCCAGTCTGCTTGCAGGAAATCATGACGGTGTGGAACAAGTCTCCAGTCTGCTCTTACTCTCGCTCTTCTTCGTCATCCACGGCGCCCCCAGCCAGCACAGACACGTCCTCTCCCAAGGACTGCAACAGTGAGGGCGAGGCCATCAAGGGCAGGCGCCATGAAGCGCCCAGCACCGCCCACGAGGAAGCCCAGAGCAGAAGCAGAGACGAGAAGGAGAACACGCTCAGTCCCGGCACAGCGGACGGCAAGCCTGCTCTGCACAAGAAGCAACCCCGACATAAACCCGAAGGCAAGGCTCGGCCTCGCACGTGGTCTTCCGGCTCCAGCGAGGCGGGCTCCGGCTCCGGCGGTGACCGGGGAGAGCTGAGAGCGCCCGCGAGGTGTGTGAAGGTGCGACACAAGACCCGAGAAAGTCGGAGCAAGAAAGGGCGGAACGGGCAGAACAGGCTGTCTCTGAAGCCCGGCGAGAAGGCGGACAGAGGCTCGCACGCTGGCGGCGGCGGCGGCTCCAGCAAGCAGCCGTGCAGGCGGGGTAAGCGGCCCTTGAAGGAGATGGGGAGGAAGGACGCGGGCAGCACGGAGGGCGGAGACCTGTGCCTGGACGGCAGGGACGAGGAGGAGTACAAGGAGGAGCCTCTGTGGTACACCGAGCCGCTCGCCGAGTGCTTTGCGCCCCTGAGCAGGAAGAGCAAGCTGGAGACCACGTACCGCGCCAGGCCGGACGCCGGCGGCCCGGCGGCCGGGGCCGTGGAGGAGCTGTGCCAGTCCGTGCGCGGCCTGTGCGTCGGCGGTGGCGCGGGGCGGAGAGCGCACCTCCCGGCGGGCACGTTCGTCGACGGCCACTTCGTGGAAATGCCCGCGGTCGTGAACGAGGATCTCGACCTCACCGGGACCTCCTTCTGTTCTCTCCCAGAGGACAGCAACTACTCGGATGACATTCATCTGTCAGAGTTAACCCACTTCTATGAAGCGGATATCGATCAATCCATGTTGGATCCTGGTGCCTCAGAGACAACGCAAGGAGAAAGTCGGATTCTGAACATGATTCGACAGCAAAGCAAAGAGACGGCAGATTTTGAGGCAGAATGTTGCATAGTGTTAGATGGGATGGAGCTGCAAGGGGATCGTGCAATATGGACAGACCCCGCCAGCCCTTTGGGTGCCGAGGGCTTCTTCCTGCAGGACCTCGGCGGTCTGGCTCAGTTCTGGGACTGCTGCTCGTCCAGCTCCGGCGACGCCGACGGGGAGAGTTTCGGAGGCGATTCTCCGATCCGACTCTCCCCGCTCCTGGACCGCGCGCCGCTCGAGCCGCACCCGCTCGCCGGCAGCCAGGAGCGCTTCTCGGATGCTAACGAAGGATCTGGCATCAACTCTTGTTTTTCAGTGTTTGAAGTGCAATGCAGTAATTCTGTTTTACCATTTTCTCTTGAAACACTCAACTTGGGAAATGAAAATACGGATTCCAGTGCTAATATGTTTGGGAAAACGCAGTCTAGGTTGCTAATATGGACCAAAAATAGTGCCTTTGAAGAAAATGAACACTGTTCAAATCTCTCAACGAGAACGTGCAGCCCGTGGTCCCATTCAGAAGAGACACGTTCAGACAATGAGACACTGAGCGTTCAGTTTGAGGAGTCCACTCAGTTTAACGCAGAAGACATGAATTACGTAGTTCCTCGAGTCTCGTCCAACTATGTAGATGAAGAGCTTCTAGATTTTTTGCAAGATGAAACTTGCCAGCAAAACAGTAGAACTTTAGCAGAAATTCCTACTTTAGTTTTCAAAAAGAGATCTAAACTAGAATCTGTCTGTGGTATTCAGCTCGAACAGAAAACAGAACACAAAACCTTCGAACCTTCGCAGGGAGGAGGCGGGAGCAGCCCGCGTGGCGGCGGCTACAGCTCAGGGGTCATCAAGGACATCTGGGCGGAGATGGCGGGCAGGAGTTCTGTGGCCGCGGCGGACATCGAGGGGGTGGACGGCGCGCCGTTCCCCACAGACCTAAACAACCCCTGCGGCTGCGTGCAGGCCGCCGCGCGCGTGGGGCCCCTGCAGGCGCCCGGGAGGGCCGTGCAGAGGTCGGAGTACCGCCTGTGGGAGGGGCAGAGGGCGCGCCCCGAGAAGGGGGCCTTTGTGCCCAGCGAGCTCCCGCCGGTGGACGCTGGCGACTACACCACTCCCTCCAGGCCCTGGGACGTAGCCCAAGATAAGGGGAGCGCGTTCATTCTCGGGGGTGTCTACGGGGAGCTCAAGGCCTTCGCGAGCGACGGGGAGTGGGCGGTGGTGCCCCCCGGCCACCCGAAGGGCAGCCTGCTGCAGGGCGCCGCGTCCGACGTGGTGACGATCGCCGGGACGGACGTCTTCACGACCCCGGGGGGCGGCGGCGCCCCCGGCCACAGGCAGCTGTGGAGACCTTGCGTGTCACTTGGGCAGAGCGACCAGCCGAAGCGTGGGGAAAATGGGTTGAACAAGGGGCTCTCTTTTATCTTCCATGAAGACTTACTGGGAGCTTGCAGTGACTTCCAAGTGGAAGACCCTGGGCTTGAATATTCCTTCTCCTCCTTTGACTTGACCAATCCATTTTCACAAGTCCTTCATGTAGAATGTTCGTTTGAACCGGAAGGGATTGCATCTTTCAGCCCCAGTTTTAAGCCGAAATCAATCCTCTGCTCTGACTCAGACAGCGAGGCGCTGCACCCCAGGATCTGTGGTGTTGACAGGACACAGTACCGGGCCATTCGCATCTCCCCTCGAACTCACTTCCGCCCAATTTCTGCGTCTGAGCTGTCCCCGGGAGCAGGAAGCGAGTCGGAATTTGAATCTGAGAAAGATGAAGCAAATGTTCCCCTCCCTCCTCAGGCTGACGGGTTTGAGGATGCACAGGCTGACCTCAAGCCGCTGGAGGAAGATGCCGAGAAAGAAGGCCATTACTACGGGAAGTCAGAGCTGGAGTCTGGAAAGTTCCTTCCCAGGTTGAAGAAATCGGGGATGGAAAAGAGTGCTCAGACGTCCCTGGACTCCCAGGAGGAATCGACTGGGGCGCTTCCGGCAGGGGGGCAGAGTCCGTGTGTGGGGTGCAGCGCCGGCGACTCCCTGGAGATCGGCCTGGGAAGTTCAGAAGCAAATTGTAAAATAATGGCTCAGTGTGAGGAAGAAGTTAATAATTTTTGCAGTTGCAAAGCAGGTTGTCAGTTTCCTGCTTACGAAGATGATCCAGTTCCTCCAGGGCGGCTGGAAGAGGTAAGTGTCCTCGTGCGGGGGGCTGGAGAGCGATGGATTGCCCAGGCTCGAAGCCACCGGCGGCCGCAGCAGCAGCGAGAGCGAGCGGGGACAGACAGTGAGAGATGAGTGTTGGGAAGTCAGCCTGAATCGCTTAAAATTGACCATTTTTATGATTTTACGCAAGGATACAAAATGATTAGGTAGTTTACGAGTTTGAGCTAAACAGACATTTTCTGCACAGAAGACATCTCAGAATAGCCCAGAGAAGGGGGGCCCCTCTGGCGTCTGCACCGGCCCGGGCTGCGCTCCCGCGCCCGCGCCCCG